TGCATCATCATCATCATCATCCACCGCAGTGTAAATGGCTTGATTTCTTCTCTTAATTTTCTTTCTTTGTTCAGGCTCATGTTCATCACTTAACCTCTTCATTGGCACCTGTGTTAGGTCCGTTCCACCTCCCAACTCCACAGTCTCACCAGGCTTCTCTCTGTCATCCGGGGAACCCAATGTATCATCAGAAGATACAACCATGGAACCTGGCAAGATCCTGACATCAGAAAAACTTGCAGAAAAGTCAGAGGCTTGACCAGAAGAAGGTTCTACAGACGGTGGATTTGTGTCACTATGTGCACTTATAATACTATCTTCATCTTCTTCCTCTTCATCTAACATTATTTCATCTGGATTAATAGAAGACAGGGCAGATGTGTCTGTGTTATATTCACTAGGGTCTTCCCCAGAGTCATTATTCTCCACATCATCCTGCTCTTCATATTCACCACACAAATGATTTTCTTCTTTGGCCTTCTGAAGCCTGACATTAATGTCTGTGATGCCAAGTTGCGCACAAAATTCAGTAGTCTGAGGGTTAATCCTATGAACCAATGGTATTTGTGTCTGTGGCTTGCTAGGGTCAAAACAGGCAGCTGTCATACTAAAGTTACATGGAACTTTGAGGTCATGATTCATTTTTTCCAGTACTTCATTCATAGATTCTTCCGTGGCACTATAATCCCACCTGAAAAAAGTAAAAAAAAAAGAAGAAGAGAAAAAATGGCTTTTTATAGCTTACCAGCCTTAGACAACAAATGATGAAATATAGCTGTGGACTTCAGGTACAAGCATTAAAAATAAACCATATACCAACATTCCATTTAGTAAAATGGCAGTTTAGCAAAAACCTTTCTGAAATGAAAATAATTTTCAGGAAGAGCTGTCCCTAATTCACACCCTAAAACGAGGATAAATCATTTTAATGTGTGAACCAAATCTCCACCATACTATATGGTTAGACATTTATTCACTTTATACACTGATTTGGGTTGGTAATCAACAGTACACTTTGTTGTGGCTCTTACTAGTCAAGTAAACTGAATTGTTCTTACATTCATTTATTCCCTTGATCACAAAAAAAAAGTGGAAGGGAAAAGGCAAGTCCTATATAAGGACAAACTTACCTTGTGTACAAGCCATTATTCTCAGGCATATTCCACAGGCGCCCAGTCACATTAATAAGATCATTAGTAGCCTTGAGAATAGTGAGCCATTCAATATCATACTCTAAGTAATCAGGAGCACTGGGATCATGTTCTATTTCTATTACCTGTAGGAAGAAACCAGTAATTTAAGAAATACATATCTATTTTTAATATCCTGAGAATTTCAATATAATACATTTTTATAGAAATTTAATTTAGGAGCCTAAAACATTAATGTAAGTTAAATATCCCCAAAGAATTCTCAAATATACATAGATTACAAAAAAGCACAGATTATGAAAGGAAAATTAATAATTATTTTAATTATGGTTAGACTAAAACTGTACTGTAAAGGTTTTTCACTTTCTTTTTACCTGAAGAAAGTCTCTATGTGGTAAGCATTTGTCCAAGGCTAAAAATTTGGTTGCTTTTGCTGTCTGTCCTTTATCCTTGACCTAGATAAAATGAACCACAATTTAAGAAAGAATGTTTATGTTGGGGGGAGGGATAGGGAGTAAGGGGAACACAATGGACTATGGTAATGGACTATGGGTGTTTTGGTGGTAGGAGCACTATGATAACAGCACCATAGCAGGAGGGGGAATAAAAGGGAGTCCTATATTTCCAAAATACAAACTATGTAAACCAACATTGCCTCAACACAAAAAGAGTGAATGTTAAAATATCACAGGAAACTCATACACTGAATAGGATGGATATAATCTTTACTGCACATACCCTTAGGTTGTTTGTCAAAGGAACAACTGCAAATTTTCCAAAACAAGTTAGTTCTATACCCACTTATGCAATAATGGGCAAAGGACTTAAACACCTGAAGGCACTCTAGGCTTCAACTGCCTTACAAAAGTCAAAACAAAAACTAATGATGAGGGCCTCCCCTGGTGGCGCAGCAGTTGAGCGCTGGGCTGCGAAGCTGCCCGCAGCCTCTGCAGCGCTGGCTCGATCCCCAGTCGCTGGGCGAGGGTCCCACATGGTGCGCAGACCTCTCCTGCTGCCCACTGCTCCCCTTAGTAGTATACTTGGTCAATCTGCCTGTTCTGTTCTCTGCTCTGGCTCTGGTGAATTCTCTCATCCCCCCGTGCTTCTGACTGTACCCAGTGCTTGTATAATATATAAATAAATAAATCTTTAAAAAAAAAAGTTTAAAAAAAACCTAATGATGATAATATGCATTAAAGCATGTAACCCACAATGCCTGATAGCAAAAGGATTAAAGATAACAGAAGAGTTTAAAAGTAAATTACCAAAACTAAAAGTATACAACTTCAAGAAGAAACCATAGGAGAAAATTTTCATAACCTTGTATCAGACAAAGATTTCTGGACACAACATCAAAAGTAGATGCACTCTAGCCAAAGAATGAAATACTATTTTTCAAATAAAAATGAATGAAATACTAATACATGATACAAATAGAGACACAAAACAGATTAGGGCTACCTGGAGCTGACGATGGGAATAAGAATTTGCCATAAACAGGTGCAAAGGATCTTTGGAGGATGGTGGAAATGTTCTAAAACAAGATTATGTGATATCCACACAACTCTGGAGATTTACTAAAAATTACTAAATTGTACATTTAAATGGGTACATTTTATGATATGTAAGTTATACTCCAATAAAGCTATTTTTTAAAAAATGAATTTGCAGAAAAAAAAAAACATGGGTTGGGGAGGTCACAAACATGAAGGTCATACATAGGGAACAGGAAAAAGTATCTCATTGAAAATAATGAGGCACATGGGAAAAGACAAGGATTTAGCCTTCTGAGAATCAGGTTTAAATTCAGTGCTGCTAAGGGACTAAGAAAGGTGGGAGGCACAGAGATCACAGGCAAACGCTGGCATCAGAGCAGTTCTGAGGAATAGTGGTCTTTGGCGTTGGTGAAGGCAGAGAGAGAGAACACTGGCAAAGTCAGAGGAGGTGGAGAAGCCAAGAAAAAAGGATCAAACATATCATTAATGCAGAGATACAGGCACGTGAGGTTGACAACAGAAGAGGGAATGGAGAAAAGGTAGTAAATCAGATGCCCTAACAGAAATCCAATACCATGAATCCTACAAGAAAGAGAAACACAGAGGTGGAAAGGTTATATAAGCAGATGACCTGACCATTTAAAGAGGATCACCACTTTGGTACTAGCTCAAAGGAAACTGAAAGGAGTAACCTCACCTCATTCTCCCAGTGAAATGGGTGATCCCACAACAGAAAGGGCCTGTCAGAATGTTTTCTGAAAGAACCTTCCGCACTGTGTCTGAGGAACCTGATTAAAGTGTACCTCCACCACAGCAAAGTATTTGGTCAACTAAGTTTGGGAACCACTGCACACCACATCCCATGCTTGGAAAAAGACTATGCTCGATGGCACATTAAAGAATTAAAGACTCAGAAACTTTGTAAAAAGCCTCTGAGGAGAAATCTCCAACTTTGCTAATTCAATATTTCTAAATGCTTTCTCTATGGAATGGAATAATTCATGGGAAAGTCACAGTTCAATCAAAATCAAGAGTGAATGGAAGAACTTCAAATTTCCATAAAAGTATATTTATGCTCTACCCTCCATTAGACGCAATCATCCAGTGACACAAGGAAAAACTCCATGAGTCACCCTAAATTACCACCTATCACCAAATCTTGATGATTCTGCTTCCAAAATCTCCACAAAACCAGCTTCATTCTGTATTCCTTCTTTGCCTTTGTTAACTTTTGCCTTTATTAGAACCTCAGCTTTAACTTCCACAGTCTCCTCTGCCTCGCATTTAACACTACTTCAATCCACATGCAAAACTGCTGCGAAAGAAATCTGATTTTATTACTCCCCAACTTTCCCCATCCTCTCTGGTTAAGACATAAATGCCAGGATATGGCTCAGAAGGAAGTTCTGATCTTGCTCCATTTTTGTCTCTCCCTAAGCTTCCGCCATAGGACTAACAGCAGCAGCTCAGACCTCCAGCTCTGCATACATTGGTCCCTCTAGAACACCCCCTATCTTCTCCTTCCTGGTACTATCAGTACTCAGCTCAGCCATCAATTCCTTTAGAAATTAAAGTCCTTCTCTCCATCTCTCTGTCCACAGTCCCAAGTCACCAGTTTGGCTTGGAATTCCCAGAGTATCCTAGCACTTTTTAAACTTTTTACAACCTTGTATTTTGTTTTTTGTAATTGCTTGCTTATCTCCTTCCCACCATTTGGATACTGAGCTACTGACAAGGGAAAAGTTATTTGTTTTGAACTTTACAACTGTGCCAACAACAACCTCCATAGTCAAGGTGTTTGTTAAATAAAAGAATAAATATTTTGTTTTCTACCTGATGCTGCATAAAAGCTGCAAACTTGACATGAAGGTGTGCAGAAAACCAGTAAGTAGGTTTTAAGTACTCTAAAAGCTCTGAGGCAGCAGGACTTCCTAATGTATTATTTTCTACTTCTTGTCGGAAAAAGATTTAGTCTTGAGAAGTTGCTTCTTATTTCCATAATGATATATGCTTCTTGGCCAATCATGAGATAAGAATATGTCCATAGGCTGCTTCAGCTTTAACAGAAAAAGAAAACTCTTAAAAACAGATTAACCAAAAGCTATCCCCCCTCCCTTTTCTCCACCACTAACCACCAGTTACCCATTTAGATCTCTAGATTTCAGTGAAATTCATTCCAAAGATGCCATATTTAAGTAAGTCAAAGAAACACTAAACGACTCATCTAGGCAAAGAGTAAGTTTTCTTTCTCACAAATTATCTTATTTTCAGTGGCATGGCAAGCCAACAGAGGCTGATTAGACTGTCAATGATCTATGTCTTGAGTATTGAGTTTCTAAAATATATGATAACCACGGTTC